CAACTTCTGTCAAATTTATAGAAATTAATGTCTACAGCAATTTGTTTTTCTCTGTCTGGTTCCTTCTTCCCTCCACACTGTCATGATCCTCATGAAAGTATGTCATGAAGCTATGCTCTACATTTCAGAGCACCCATGTGTGGTTCTTAAATTTCACACAGTACCATGCCATTTATCTCAGTATATACCAAGTACACATGGAAGTTGTGAAGACCATACTGCAGAAAACAAAGTTTACGAAAATACAAAAATGCAGCTAGTTAAAGAAAAGTTGATTGGCTTTGGTATATAAAGTAGCTAGTTTGAAGATTAATGGGAGAAGAAACCATGTAAAGGAGTTAAGAGATACACATGGTAAGCAGGGCAACACTAAATCAGGCAAGGTAAACTAATGTGTGAGCTTTTGAATAATTCTTCCAAACTGATATTTCAGAGAGTATTCATAAATGGTAGCATGCACAAAGCATCTCATGTATTCTACATTATCAACGCAAGCTACCGAAGTCGACCTTTAATACACATCCCAATGGCAATGGTTAGAAAAGCTGTGATTACTTTTTTAATTTACAGATTCACTTCCCATATATTTGATTTCTCAAATATGTTAAAAGGCCTGAGGACACTGTGCTTGTACTCCAACTAATCTTAAAACAAATTGTTAACTAAATATATTGCATCTCAAACCTAAATTTGTATGCAACGAGTGCTCCTTCCCAACATTCTTGTTCAGAAGCCTTCAAGCTTGTGGCACAGTATGTTTTCTATAATCCCATTTCTTTTTTAATCACATGCAACCCCTTTTTTGTATTCTATTGATGTTAAGAAGAATGAATGCAGCCCTTGCGCTATTAAAAACAAAAAGCTTCTTACTTCCAGGAATGCACTGGCAAGACTCCACAAGAACAAGATTTAACTTTTGAGCATGGCAGTGGGCATACAAGGCTAATGGGTGGTCCTCCAAAAAAAAACACCACAAAAAAACCGTTAAACTTCATTCAAATGGCCTTAGTACATCAATATTATCTTATTATCTTGCAAAACTCTCAGTGCACACGTAACAAGATGTGAGAAAAATGTGGAAGCACTGTTCAGTTTTACAATTTGTCACTTACACCTTTATTTAACACATATGAGTTTAGTTTATGTGTGAAGGTGCCTTATGACTCATCAGCTGAAAATGAAGCTCAATTTGTTTTGCTTGTATGTGAGAAAGAAATCACAAAATTGTTTTACAGAATAGGTCAGTCCATTCAGTCCAACTAGTTGCACCCCTAGACAAAATGGAATTTTTATTGTAAACACTTTGCTCAAGAGATCTAAATCCAGGTTGGCTGCACTAAAATTGCCTTTGCTAATTTTCCTGCCAAAACTTCAAAAAGCAATTATTCTAAATACAGTTATTTTTGTAGCCCCTTTTTTGTGTGTCTACAAATCTTGCTTTGTTCTACCTTGTGAATGATGTCACCCTTTTATTTAGATGACTTAATATGCTGCTTAACGTGTGATGTAGTTCAAGAGCAACTATGGGAATAACATTGTCCTGTGGCTATTTTCTCCATTTGAAAACCCTCTTAAAGCTGTTATCCATCTGCATTTTACTCACCGTTTGTGAAACATCTATACAGAAAACAGTAAGCTCTTTGTTTCTTACAGCTATATTCCAGCCTACAAACCTATTTATACTCCGGGAGAATTAATGCCTACTTTTATTATTCTTTTTGTCAGACGTTTCGTGGGTTTTTTTTTGGTTTTTTTTTTTCCATTTTTTAAATCATAAGCTCTAAAAAAATAACATGGTGTGATAGGATAGGCTTGAAAGGATTTCCCTCATCTCCTAGATGGGTGAAAAGCATGTTTTATTAAAACTGCTGACCTGGGCTGTGACAACTCCATCTGTTTTTCTTAAAGATGGTTGGTGAAATTATTAGCATTTATGATTAGATGTCAGTTTCTAAAAAACTTGTTTAAAAAATAAAAAATATGAATTTCTAACATTGTCCATTCTCAGATTCATGTCTTACAATTCTTGAAAAAGCTTCTACAATTTTTTGTAGGAGACTTAAAGTGATGGAGGAGGTTTTACCTAATGCAGTCTCAGCAGCATTCCAAGTGGTTCCCAAAATGTAAAATGTGTTTAATTTGCTTTGCAACAAATCAGATTTATAAGTCTTTCTATAGGCACTCCCATTTGGCCTGCTTTCCGAAGACCTTTTTGTAACACTGTGTCAAACATTGCATCAGAAATCCCTCTCAGAAGAGCCACAAAATGTTCAAGTGAAGCTTGTGTAGGATGTATCACAGGAGGTAACATGACTGTACAATGAAATAACGGTGGAGCATTAAAAAAATACAGTAATTTGACAGAGCTAGGATTACGTATACGTAAGAGTAAAATTAAACTTCTGTCAGAAAAAAGGGTTTGTTTTTTTTTTTTTTGTCTAAAAAAGTCATATTCCTCCTACTGACAGCCAAAATACTTGCAGTAAACATGATTTAGTAATCTGTTCTGACAGGTCTCATTAACTACAGAATACCCACGGCCAACTAATAGGCCACTCATTTCAAATCACTTTCTTAGATGAAAAAATGGATAAAATTAAGAAGACAGATGTGCTTAATTGTGGCTAAAAGTATGTATAACAACAACTTACATGTATAACAACAACTTACACTGACTACTTTTTCAATTTTATTCAAATGTGCTTACAATGAAGGCCCAAAGTATGTATAGCACATGAGACTACTTAGAGGATATGAAAGAATGAAACGAAAATTTCTAGAACAAATAAATGCATTACAATACTGTATAATGACCTTAAAATAAATACTCGGTTTTCACATAACAATGAAGATAAATACCAACACTGAGAAACCTTCATAGAGATGATCCATCTGCTCAGACGTTGATTTTCTGATGTTATTTTCAATGACTGTATCACTCAGTAACAGCAAAAATTATTGCTCACGGAAAGAAAACAGGAAAAAAACATATAGCTTCTGCCAGAAGTCATTTGACAAATTTATTACGGAGAAATTGAAAAAAGAGAGCTACTGCAATGAGAACTCTGTCTTGAAGAAGAATGGACAGGTGTCCTCAAACTCAGTAAGAAAGGAATGCTCCAAAAGAATCAACAGATTTCTTGATCACAACAGAACACACAGAGTTCTTCCCCACAACAGAATACAAAAGCAATACACAGCTCTATTTCAAGCCTCATGCCACAGATAAGATGGTCTATTTTTTGGTCTATCAGCAGTTTAAAGAAATTGTTGAACTGCAACCAGAAGAACAAAAAGAACCAGTCGAGCAGGTATCATCCAGTTCCTCCCTGACATTCTTAAACAGGGTAGAGAGTGTCATAAAGTTCTACAGGTGACAAAGTATTGCTTTGCATTCTCTGATCATGAGAGTGAAGTGAGAAAAGGGTAATTCATATTTCAAGACTGCAGCATCGTGTAATACACTCAAAGGACAATATAACAATAGCCAAGGCTGTTACGACTGGCCCAAGATTTGAGTGGTATGCTCCCTGATGTGAGAACTGAGAGGATATATTGCATCTTGGCACCTGCTGCTTGTAGCTATTTCAGGGAATTTAAAATTTAATTAAGCTTCATATTAATCCATACAAGACTTATATAGTTCTTATAAATGACAGACTTGTAAGTTCTAAGAGATCATGTAGAAAAATTAACATTTCCATTTCCTTGCCTTTCTACATGATAGTTCATGGACAACCAATGCAAGTAGAAAAAAAGGTGTCATTCTTTCACGTAGCTAGTTGTTAGGAAATATTTTGTAACACATACAATTTTCTTCCAGTGAATTGGGAAGAATCCCATGCCTGGTATATGTTTACTTTTTTCTTAAAGCACATAGCTGCGCTGTTAACAGTAAAACTGCCTGGACTCACAAAGCCCTTAGCCACTGCTGCTCTTGGCAGTACTGGAACTGAAGTTTGAGGTCCCATGACTGTGCTGAGGAGATGCCACTGTGCAGATATTCAGTATGCCTGTAGCCATAGCCTCCAGAGAAAAACGCTCAGAAAGCGTTTTGGAGCCCCTCTTCCTACATAAGAGCCTTTAAAAAAGTAGTAACTTACAAGCAAAACGGGAAAAAAAAGTAGAAACGTAGGGTGGCATATGGCCAAACTTTTGACTTAATTTCACCACAGGTTGCTTTTTATTTACAAGCGGTTAATCCCCTCTCAAACTATACAAAGGAGCAGCCATTGGCAAAGCAGGCAGATAAAATTGGCATGCCTCTGTATTGTTCTTGTTAATCTGAACCATTAACAGAAGGGTGAGAAGGCTAGTTTTGTCATTTAAACAGGCTTAAATCCTTTCTCCAAATGAGCTTTTGTCTACACAGAAGAATGCATCTAGGAAATTTAAGGGGTTTCTGTTAGTGTTGCATTCCCAAGCTGACTTGGCTACAGGATCACCAAACTGTTTATTTGGCCCCCATACTGTAAATGCAAGAATTATTTCCAGCTGTCAAAATCAAAAGGGGCTCAACCCGATTAAATTATTTCTCAGAGGTGAAACAGGATGAGATTATAAAGTGCTAAGAAGCAGTTATTTGAAGTCCTGGACTGCACCTGTGCAACTAAATCTCCATTTATACAGGTGCTTTTCAAATTGGATTTGAACCTTTAAATTCCCTGATTCATCTCCTGAAAAACCACAGAAGCTCAAATAACTAATGAAATTCAGAGACAGAAAGGCTTAAAATAGTTTCAAGCTGTGAAGTAAGGCCTAAGACTAACTACACTCTTTGATTCATTGTTGACGCGACATATCAAGCATAAACGTTAAGTTGCACAACCCAGATGCCGGAGGTCATAGGGTAGTTAGTAGCTTTTTTTAAAACAAAAAACAAAAAACAAAAACGTGGCACAGGAGAGGTCATCACCTAACCCAAAACAAAGTGCAATACATATCCGAAAAACTTGGGGAAAAGAATGTATTTGGTGGCACGGCATCATTTTGATTTTTACCTGGCACATCTTGCACAGATATTCAGTGTGACCTTTGCTTGCGGTTCAGCAGGATGAGCACTTCTACTTTGATTGAATTTGCTCCCAGAAGACATCAGACTTGTTACTCCTTCCATTCTTAGGTCATCAAGATCCTCTGCAACAAAACAGAATGACTAGGTGAATACAGTATTTATTTTTGTAACAATACTTCATAATTCTGCTCCTGCAAAATTTATTCAGTGCCTACAGGATCACTAAAAATTAGGAAAAAATCACACAGTTACTTGAATAATATTAAGGAAAAAACCACACTTGAACTGGTTTTCATTTTTATGTATCAGCATCTTGATACAAAGGGTATCTTCAAAAATACTCAGTAGCATTTCTACTTCAGATAGTGCTATCTATTCTTTCATATTTATTTCTCCAGCTCATCTATAAAAACTAGCAAGCAAACATACTTGCCAGTTGCCAGATGCTGACCAGTATCTCAATTTCATGTCGGGCTCCATACCAAAGAGAAAATTCACTTTTTGGAGTATATTGTCCTTCTTTGAGTATTGGTATAGGCTGGTATATAGTCCTCCCCCAAGATTTTGTTGTTGTTTTATTATTCAATACTTAGCAACGCTGTTTCTTTGCTAAAACAAAAACGTTCCACTGAGCCCCAAATATTTGAAATATATATGTATATCACACCAAAGGGACCATTATAAGCACACTTATACTCACCACATCACTATAATACATGAGCAACTACTAATCATAACTGGATTTTATACTGCTGCAGAAGCACTCCCACTTTGTAGGAAGAGAGCAGAGGCTCTTGGAAAACCATATTTCCCAGATTACACTGGAGCACTGTGGCTGAGTTAGAATGCAAACAAAGTCTCCTGCTTTAAAGCTGGGACATCCTTAACATGACTTGTTTATTTTTTATAACATATAGAATAGGCACATTGTGTATACCTAGTGTATAAGGCAAAACTTCAAGTTGTTTCTAATTCCATTTGGTTCTAGCTGAAAAGTACACAAACGAAGCACTAACTAGCTGCTACTGAATGGGCACCAACCATTCCATGTTCTGACTGAGGCTTGTGGTTTGTGATACATAGAGCATGTTATCATCTAATTAAAATGTCTTTCAGATAATGTATGTACATACATTTTCATATACTTATGTGTACAAAAGAAGCCAGATGTTAAAGGATCCAAGTGAAGCAGTAAGCACATAAAGGCAGACTGTCGATTGTGCAATCAGACAGTAAAAGGTCACAGAGAATTCTAAAATCAGAAACTATATTGGTTCAACTGAAATTTAAATTACACAAGTAGCCATTACACAGTGGACTACCAGTCAGATTGGCAAGATAATGCCATGTTAATCATACTCTTTTTGGGAGTCATCCATTTCAATAAACAAAATCCACCGACTGTGGTGAGAATAAAAGCACATCAGGACTAAAAGTAAATGAATTTCTTGCCATCAAAGTCCTGGAACTAGGTCTTCTTACCTGCAAAATTTTATTTCAGTGCTTAAGAATACCCTCCCTTCACCCTGTCTTAGTGGTATAAATAGACAGTTTCAGTAATTGCGTCTTCAGTTCACACCATTTCCACAACTCTTCCTTTAAATGTTATCTGTAGTTAATATACAAACTAATTCAAAGGACTTGGAAGGATATATGATGAAGAGTTATAAAATCAATCACTTACGAGACATTTCAGAGAAGGCATTACGTATTTGGAACATACTGTGTATTAAAATAAATGATGTTAAATTGTGTTTTAAAGAGGTGTGAAAAGTTCTATATTTTTTAATAGATGTAAACGACTGGATGGATTACAGTTTAAATGAAACTGAAGCACATGCTTTATTTTTTCCCCCACCTTGAACAGATGTGATTTCTTAAAACGTGGTTTTCAGCTGTTCCCTGCTTGATTAATAACTAAGCGTGTTTCAATAGAGTAGTGATGTAAGCTGACCTCTATTGTACCTTTTTACATTTGACTCTGTATGTCAAAAAAATGCATGTTCTCCGTTTTTGGTCAACTCTTCTCTCAAGAGAAAAGCAAGTGAATTTTTGAATGTGCAAGAAACTTGGATTTCAGACGTACCTATATCTGTAATTAACAGACAAGTTGGCAGAACATTACTACGTGCTGGTAATAAATCAATCTTAGCAAAAAAAATATTTCACTTGAGAAGTCAATTCAGTTACAGAGCTTGAAACACTGAATCTTTTCCATTGTATTCTTTGCTAGACCAACTAGTGATGATAGAGCTGACCAGTTCAGTGATTTTATGGAGGAGCAGTGAGATAATTCACTAAGAAAAAGAGAAAAAAAGCTAAGTTGATGACTGCTTTTGTGACAGAAGACAGGAATACATTAAACCTCTCAAATCTTAAGAAAATTGGTACGTATATTTTTACAGTGATAGGCCAGAAGTTCAAGTAAATGAAAGGCAGAATAAGATAGAATCGTGCTTGTGCTAATAAAAATATGTTGTTTTAACGCATGATGGCACACTCTATCTCTTCCATTTAATGATATTCCTATGTACACTCATCTTATAAAAATTTTCGTTAAGAATGTCCTGAGTGGTTAAAAAAAAAAAAAAAAAAAAAAAAGCAAACCAACAACCAAAAAAAGCATCTATACAGCTTCACGTATTGCCACAACAATAACAAAAAATACTTGAAAGTGAGATAAGAATCACAAGTGTAATGAAGCACATGAACAGATGTTTTCTGTATTATTAATAAAGCTGCATGGAGCTAAATCCTTTGTGAATTTTTACAGACAAGTTTCATAACTAAGAAGGGAAAAAAGATATCTATTTCAGCTAAACAAAAACATGTCCCAGTAATTAGTTGACTGTTTCTGAAGAGGATGTTGCTTATAATTATTTATGTCCTGTTATGAAGAGGAAGGGGAACTGGGGACAGAGAAGGGGCACTGATATTCTAGACTATCGAGTATTCTAGAATAATATTCTTGAATGTGTGCAAGATTGTTTAAAGTCTCAGGATGAGGAGGTGTGAAAATGTTTCTCAGGATTCTGAAAGGCTCTCACACCATTCACAGTTAGGCCAGAGCTGCTCTTATGAAAAACTTCTCCTAAATACGATGAAAGTTCACTTCCAAAGGAGGTTTACATAGTCAGGATCTGTTCTACATTTTCTGATATGATATTATCATTTTTTGCCTCTTCTCTCCATTGCAAAGTGTAATGTCCCACCTTCTTGAATTAATATTCAAGAAGGTGCAAAGCTGGAAAAAGTCTTGATTCATCTTTACAGAGATTATGACTGCTCAGTTTTTCTGTTCATTCTAATGCTAAGAAAACCAATAAATATTTTCATGTGGGAGTGAACTTGATTATGAATCTTAATTTATGTTTTTGCAGGCCCCCAGTCAATTCTGATGCACCATTAAAATAACAGCTCTTTCTCTGAAGCAGTGAGTTTTTAAGGCAGTGTTATTTCATCAGGACAGATATTGATGTATTGCCTGTAGATAGCATTGATTTGTCATGGACCATTGACTAAAGCACAGACCCAATACATTCTGGAACTCCCATAAAATAATTAAGTAAAATAAAAAGCCTACTACTTATAGAAGTTCTGCTTATGTTCCAGGCATTTCTGCTGCTCTGTATGTCATACCTGTATGTTTCTTATTACGCTAACCACTCATCCCTGCTTTAGATGACTTTTCTTACCAACATCAACAGAGCCCCCCAAATCCTACCTGAATTCCAAACGAATTATTGGAACATTCAGCATTTAAGTTTTCAAGATAGAAAGGAACCATTAATCTATAAGGCCTTATACTCCACCTCTGAAACTTAATCATTTACTTCAACCAAAGAAAAACTGGAGTTATCTTTCACAATACACTAGATACAGGACATTTCACTTCTTTTTCTCTTATTTTTCTATGTTATGTAGTTGACAACGCAGTTTATTCTAATATGTTTTTTCCATTAACACCTTCAAAATATCAAAATTTCACCCAATCCAGACCTCTGGCATTGACTGTTGATGCAAAGATTGTCTTAAGTAGATTCATCAAGAATCCTACAAGCCATTTTAGATTCCTGAGACCAATGTTCTGAAGACAACGTACTTTGTAAGCATCTAAAGATGACAATAAATTTTCCTGGTGTTTGTGCTTCCACAAGATGCTTCCACAAGTATGTTAGATGCATATTAAAAAAAATTTGAAACCTGATTTTGCACATCCCTGAACTTGCATCTCCACCTCTACCATTTCCAATTTAGTAGAATTCTACCCCACAATCAAAAAAAACAATCAAAATCAATCTGGGGCTGTAGTATCAAGAAGCACTCTTTGCATACACTTAGAAAATGGATTTGCAATTAAAGCTCTCCGTTTCAATCAACAAGAAATCTTTCTTCAACTTTTCCATATTTCTATTTTAACCTGGGATTAGAATTAACGAAGAAGGTAGTCTTTTCTGATTAAGTTCTTCTATTTTCAGAGCACACTTCACTATGTTAGACAACTGCATAAAGAACTGGCCCACTGACTCCATCTCCTGCTTATTCTCCCTTTATCCACAGGGAAGAGTATTTGTTTACTGCAGAAAACTGCTAGCAGTCCAGATTGAAGCAACACTGACTGAGGGGATGAGAAGATCTTTAGAATCAGGAGTCCAGGCTTCAGCCCCTCATGCAATATCAGGTAAATGAACTTCAGAGAACAAATCTGGTGTCTCCCAATGGCCCGAACCACCGGTTGGTTGCAACATTATAGTCTCACTTAATTTAAATAACAAAGTCCTCAATTGAAAAGAACTGGCATCGTGCACACTAACACCCTACTGAGCATCCAAGGCTAAACAATCTAGGAGCACAAATAACAGCTGCAAAGAGCCAACCCCTACGTAAGTAACACTGACTATATAGACATCGTTGCCCCGCACCAATAGCGATTTGCAGTGTGCTGGCACAAACTGTCATCTAGATAGTTTCATTCACTACTTTATTTTTACAATAAAGGAAATCTAGTGTTAATTAGAATATCTTCATTATTTTGATGTTTCCAATAAAAGTAAAAAATTAGAATATTTCACTTATGTATTATTCACATATTTCACATGATGAATTACTGCAACTGTAATAC